AAGTTTTATTCGAACAAGTCACAGCATCTCTAAAACAATCAAAAAAGACGAAATGTAAATTTTCCACCATAGTACGATGCATAGATCTATCAAATCAAATTAACATTATTGCGAGAGCCACAAGAACACCAATTCCTGTTTATCCACCATGTGTGAATCTCGAACCAGTTTTCATCACCAAATTACTGCAGTATCCTAAAGGGCTCACCTCATCGGATGAATACCAGCAACATTTTAACAAAATTAAAGCACTACTGAAAAACGACTGGGAATTTATTTATACAGATGGGTCCAAATCTGATACCAGTACAACGTTTGCAGTCACAAACCAACTTGGTGTCACTATTGCCGTCGGTGCACTACCATCCTATAGCTCGGTATTTACAGCCGAAGCAGCTGCTTTACTTGAAGCGGTACTTTTTGCTTCCCAAAATGGAAACAAATCTGTCATATGCAGCGATAGTAAATCTACTTTGGACGCCCTTACGAATTATGCAAATGATACGCCCTTAGTTACAAATATCCGTAACGCTATATATTCAAATAGAAAGAATATAWAAATCATGTGGATGCCAGGCCATGCAGGAATCCGCGGAAATGAATTAGCCGACAGCAGAGCGAAAGACGTCAGTTTGGAGCCATTACATCTAAGCAACTACTTTGTGGATAAAGATTTACGCAAGCTTGTGCATAGCTTTTTACACGAAAGCTACTTAACTGAATGGAACAGCTATCAATACCACTATAAATCGCACAACCCTACAGGAATTAGACCATCGCTCTCGTCAAATATGTCATGTCAAAGCATAAGAAGATTCACACGTCTACGGATTGGTCACACGTTAGCTACTCATGCACAGTTATTAAAAGGATCACACTAGCCTAACTGTACTTTTTGTGGTGCAAATGACGTATCTACAACACATCTTCTCGATAGCTGTCAGGAAATGGATACACTTAGAACTTCAATATTTGCAGAAACAAAACCATCTGACATGCTA